TAACGTCAGGAAGATATAGATAATTACTTGCGTTTCGTAACAAGAAACATAAATATTGACAGTGGGTCAAGCACAAATACACACCTTCCCTGGAGTTTGGTTCAGCACAACGTAAAACAGAAACGTCAAATGGTCAAATCACGAAACATAGTAAACACTATAACACGCATATCAGGTGCTGTGTCAATCTTCCAATCAGCGTCCTCCATATAGAGTTTAAGTTTAATCATGTTTAATCAAACGATGGCTCCACAAACTTATATACGTCGCCCTCTAGGGGCAATACTTTTCACAGGTTTAATGCTCGTATCCACTCATACAGCTTCAATATTATATTCTTTGTATTATTACATTGTTCTGCTTCTTCTAATGTCAACCACATTCAATAAGTTTGAACTGAATGCGATATATGTTTTGTATATCTGTCCACTTATGATTTCCCATCAAGGAAATATAGCGTGCCAAGAGTGAAAACCGTAAGGTCTGTGTACTGAACTCTTCTTAACAACTGGGATTATTGTTATATCAGCGGGTGATTTTATAACTATACAATCACTTGAACATTGCTGGACCTTTTTGATTATCTTATTATATAATTATCTCGTATATTACCCAATTACCTTATTTATTTTGTATTTTGACTTGATTGACAGTATAGTAATTAAATCACTAGAAACGTGTTTCGAAAACATCACAAGATGATGAAACCATACCACAGTATCTAACAAGGCTGAAGAAAGCATCCTGTGAATATGAGGCTGATAGAGACCAAATTAGAGATCACGTTGAAGTACACTGTTAATTTTAGCCATTAATAGGCGAAGTGTTGATAAACATTGATTTTCCCACAATCCAATGCGCTCTTTTAATGGGAATCACTTTGCACTAATTACCGTCAGTGATGTCTTTGATACCTTCCATTCACCTAAAAAATACCTAATTAAACCTTGGTAACGTCTCAGTCTGTACTCGTTGATCTGCACAACAATCAAAGTCGAAATTTTTGAGACCCATAGATCGCGCGCATGCGTGGCACAGTGCTTTTTTGAGGCAGAAACCCCTAAAACACTCAAAAGGGTCCTTTGAAGCTGTAGAATAACAATTCCAGTACATGAAAGAATTATAAGGTCAGCCGGTCACTAGTCAGAAACACACTTGAGTAAAACTCTTTTATGTCATACCCAGCCCAAGGCAAGACATGCAGAAAATGTGTTGGTCAGAATCACTTTGCAACAAAGTGGCGGCATGAAAAGAACTGGAAAAGCCCATATGAATGATTTGGAAGATGAAGAATCGGATAGTGATGGTCATTATGCATTTATAACAAAACAACAATAAATAAATGTGTCAGATTCACAAAAATACCAGTGAATGTAGAATGAGTTGAAATCTGAATGATAGTAGTCTCTGGCAAGTGACAGCAATATTATAGGCAGAGACTTATGGGAACACCTGATGAAGAAAAAATGTGAATCCAGGAAATGTACAAAGAAATTATTTCCATACACTTCGAGGGCACAATTATTAACATGTTGATGTTTTGATATATTATAGCCAGTTGAAAAGCCTAGGCTTTGAATGGGTCCGGTGTTAGCGGTGCCAATATCAAATGAAGACATTCAAATGTGTATTGACGAGTTGCAAAATAGGAAAGACACTCGATCCTTACAATTGACAAGAAATTATAGGAAATTAGCCAAAGTAAGTGTTCTTTAAGCTGGAACTCATCGGAAATATATCAATATGAAATACAGGAAATAAGGCAAGGTATTCTAGGCAATAGAAAACATATTCATTTGTCAAAACAGAAAGAGCATTATATATGTTTGCGGCGAGTATTAGAGCGTATTCAAACTGTTAACTCATAACACAGACAAAGTGTGTTAGAGTTACATATGTTAGACATAAGCAACTTGGCCCAGCATGAGATAAAGTAGAAGCTGTAACTGATGCAAGAACACTGGAAACTGCCAGTAAAGTCAGACATATTCTTGGACTTATCAATTAATGTTCTGTATGTATACCTATTTTCTTACTGTCGCCGGACCACTACATCAACAAGAAAGATCAAGAGTGAGATTGTGATTTGCGGTACTATGACCACAATGCCAAGACCAAGGTTTTCACAGATGTAAGTCCGATCAGTATAGGTATGGTCCACGTCCAAGATAATAGAGATGGGCCAAAAGTAATGGTAATCAGGTACGTTGAAAGGCGATATTTACAAACTGAAAAAAAACGTTGGATCTTGAGTGGGCTTGTGTAAAGTTCCAACCATATTTGTATGGAATAATCATTACATTTTATCTAGCCACTGATCACAAACCGTTAGAGGTCATCTACTCTCATCGCCCACAGCATGTGCTAGGAGATGGGTATTAGGCAACAGCCACACCAGTTCAAATTAGTATGTATACAAAGGGTAAGGAACATGAAGAACCCACTATCACGATTGTTAGATAACAAAATTGGTTTGATCACAAAAGTTTGAGATTTATCAATGTAAATGGTACACCAGCTGATGACAACGTATTGAAACTGACAAATGTGAAATTGTGAGTTGTGTACTGTTGGCAATTTAGTATTGTCAGGAACAAGATTTGTGATTCTGATAAACTGAGACCTACATTGTTATCACTTGTTCATGAGGGTCATTTAGCAGATGCAGGGACTAAGCAAAATGTTAGATCTAGAGTCTGGTGGCAAAGAATGAAAAATAATGATATAAAAACATTTTTGTACATGCCACGGTTGCCAACTTACAAGTAGAGCAAGTCTACTTAAGCTGATTAGGAGTACTTAGTCTTTCTGGAGCACAATGGAAGAATTTGATAGTAGATTTGCCAACCTCTGCCAGGAGAATATATTTTACAGTGATTGATTACTACAGTCAGTGATATGAGAGTGAAAAAAACTGTCACAATGCTGAACAGAATATTCGCCAGACACAGGTTACTATTGTCTATATCCAGTGGCAGGTGAGCCACAGTTCATACCTGAAGTATTTACCAATTACATGACAGAAATTAGTTACAGTATATTAGTTCCCAGTTACACAAAAATGACCACAAGCGGCAAAATCATTCACTTGAAAAGCGCATGAAGATAGCACAAGCTGAAGGAAGAGACTGAAAAGAAGCAATTTTTACGTACATTGGAGTTTACAAGACAATACCACAGTCAACAGCGGGCAAAAACCCAGCAGAACTGTTGTACAGTAGGCAGATGACCAAATGAACGGGGAAATCACTGATCTGGAAGTTCGAGGCGATAAATAATTTAAGTAAGTTAGAAAACGCAATTGACCAAATAAATTGTGAACTTACATGTGAAAATAAGAACTATTGCTATGACAGCTAAACTTAAGCAGAAAACGATTGTTGAAATTATCAAGCATGTTTTCGTGACTGAGCTGGTTGTATCTGGTTTAACATTTGCTGCAGTAGTTGAAGATGAGTTGTGTTGCTGTTCTGTTCTGTTTCTTGCAATATATGCCTGTAAAACAAAACAATAGTTGTAATACAGCCATTACTGGTCATTGGGGTAAGTATTACAGTCATAAGGCAGTAGTAAAACATTTAAGGTAGTCAATTTTATTCTGAGAAAGTGCCAAAGATATACCTGAAATCGAAACCATAAAATCGTAATCAAATAATTATAAGTGTACACTATACCATAGTGTTACTAACTTATATTGACAACACAACTTTCTGTAGTTTGATGCTGCAGGAAGACCTTCCAATTGTGTTACATCCCATTATCAACTATGTTACTCTTTATAATCAAGCTTTCAACTATATTACTACCCATAACCAAGCTTTCATCTATGTTACTACTCATAACCAAGCTTTCAACTATGTTACTACCCATAACCAAGCTTTCATCTATGTTACTACTCATAACCAAGCTTTCAACTATGTTACTACCCATAACCAAACTTTCAACTATGTTACTACTCATAACAACGCTTTCATCTATGTTACTACCCATAACCAAACTTTCAACTATGTTACTACTCATAACAAAGCTTTCATCTATGTTACTACTCATAACCAAGTTTTCAACTATGTTACTACCCATAACCAAGCTTTCAACTATCATTACTGCCCATAACCAAGCTTTCAACTATGTTACTACTCACAACCAAGCTTCCAACTATGTTACTACTGACAACCAAGCTTTTAACTATGTTACTACCCATAACCAAGCTTTCAACTATGTTACTACCCATAACCAAACTTTCAACTATGTTACTACCCATAACCAAGCTTTCAACTATGTTACTACCCATAACCAAGCTTTCAACTATGTTACTATCAAAT